TCCATGTGAGGAGCAGATTCCAAAGAGAAGACCCCCTCTCCTCTCCTCCCTTCCCAACAGACTTGGCTGCACCCTCAGGAAGGTTCATGCTCCTAGCAAATCAGGCAGTGGGTACCCTGCATGAGCCTTCGTGGGGCTGCCCCCTGGGCTCAGTGCTGGCTCACGGGGTTAATGAGATCACATGTGACCTTCCCTGCCCTCCCTTGCACCCGAGGCAGTTCAGTTCTTAGCAGCTGTCTGACCAACTGCACTCCTTAACCTTGGGATTTCTGAGACACAGTCCAACCCCTCTCCTCCTCCCTCTAGTTCCTGTCCCAAGGCTGAGCTTTCTAACTGAGAACGCTGCATTTTGAGAGAAATGGGGGCCATCTCTACATGTTAATGATTCCAGTATAGCAGGGATGTGAATTCCTTAATCCGGACTTTCTCCTTCCCTTGAGCATCCTCAGACCCTTCTGCTGGTAGTGGAGGGTCCAACCACAGTGTCTTGCCACAGCGTTTTGTTCTCCCTTTGAGAGGCGGAGGGAATTAATTCCAGGGCTCACAAATTACAAGCTAGCATTCTGAACAGAAAGACCATCTTTAGCATCATACGCTGCGAAGACTTTGGCAGCAGGCCATTCTGGGGGGAGATTTTGCGTGGGTTCTTGTTAACGGGCCGGCGCATCCATGTGCGTCTCTCTAGGCCAACTCATCAGGGTAAGTTTTGCATTTGATCTTTTCAGTTAAACCTCACGGCAGAATGCGTTATTTGGCTGGCAAAATGGGGGTGCATGTGTGTGTATGGGTTGAGGGGTGGAGGGTTGTCTCCTCCACTCAGTAGAAGAAAGGGAGGGAACGAAACCATCTTTATCAGCTTATTAGTTCTTCCCACTTGCCAAAAAACAGGAAAAAAGCTGTGGCAACTCATGTCAAATGTCAGCATGTTTTTGAGTTTGTCGCAGTGTGGGTTTTACATACACACATTGTGCTGCCAAAATCCAGAGGCCTGTTTGTCAAGCAAAACATGGCAGGCTGTGAGCAATCAGACCCACTCTGGGTGACTGTCCCCCCCCCCCCCCGATCTGCTTAGAAACCACGGCTGCAATTTGCTTTGTTTTCCTCTCTCCTAGTGCAAGTTTGCTGAGCTGCAGTGCAGGAAGGAGCGAGGAAAGAGGTGGCGCTCTGGAGATCCCTGTGCCTTCTGGTGTGCAAATGCCTGCCTCCATTGTAGAGGGACGGGCTCAGCTAACTGTGCTCTGGGCGCCTAGGGCTGCAGTTCCCATCAGCCCCAGCCAGCAGGCCTTTGGCAACTAGGGAGGGCGAGGGAGGTGTGACGCCACACCTGCAGTGCGCTTGTGGGATTTTTCAGGGGCGCAGTGCTTTGTGCTTCAAGGGCCCTGAGCCCGTTGCCCGGCCCCTTCTCTGGCCAGGGGATCCTGGGAGCAGGCCTGGCGGGGCAACCCTGATAGCAGTGCCGGCCAGGCCCCTTGGCGCCTCTGGGCGGAGGACAGGGCTGGGCGGAGGACAGGGCTGGGCGGTGGGGGGCGGCGGAAGGCCCGCTGTGGCCAGCCGCTCCTTCCACCGAGTACACGCACCCTCCTCGGGGATGCTTCGCACAATCCCGTCCCAAAAAGGGAGATGAATGTCCCCAAGGGGAGGGCGCAGCTGAAGGCCAAAGGCAAAGGGGGTGCCACAACACTGGCCTGTTGCCAGTTATTCTAAATTTGCATTTTAGTGGAAAGGGAGCCAGCATCGTGCGGTGGCTCGAATACTGGGACAGGGACCCTGGAGCTCTAGTCCTTGCTCAGCCGGGGGAATCAGTGTGGATGCTTTGGGGCCAGTCTTTGAGTCTCAGCCTAGCCTACCTACAGGGTTGTTGTTGTGAGGAAAAAGTGGAGCTGCGCAAGCCACTTTGGGGTATAAATAAATGCATCCTCATCCCCCTCATAATTATTTAAAGCTATAACATAGCCTTAATAGAAGCAGTTCAGCATTTTAGGATGGGGGGAAATATCCTGCTACCCTTTAGGGGAAGAAAAGGTTAAGAGCAAGCATAGGAAATGCTAGAGGCAGAGGATACAGCAAATGGTATCTCTCTCCTTTCTCTTATAATGAGGATGGTCAAGAGATTCAGGCCAGTCAAAGGGGAGGGTCCTTTGTCTGTGCAGCCCACTGCCCTGAGTTGCAGTGATGCTCTCTTACTGACGGCCAGAAGGAGGGCTCACGGAGTTTTCGGATGGGCAGCTGCCCGAGCCACGAAGGCTGCATCCGCGGCACTGGATTTGTGGCAGCCCCCGTGCCGAGCCAGCCAGCCTCCCTTTACCCGTTCCAGAGGAGCAGAGTCAAGGAATGGACTGCGACTTTCCCAGCCCTTCTTGTGGATTTTGTTGAGGCACCAAGTTGTTGGCAATGGCGCCAGTTTCTTTGTAGCTTGTTTTTCCATGGTAAAGCCCCGCTCCGAGCAGCTGACAGCAGTGCCAAAAAGATTCAGGAAATAAAATATTACATTTCCAAGCAATCAAGTTACAAATGATAACAGTGTTGAAATAGACATGCACACAAAACATGGGACATTAATAAATATGCAGTAGGATTAAACAACTCGTTGCTAACTTTGCTAATGTCAGAACAAAGAACAATTAAGCAACTCTACACCGGGGCGGGGGTGGAGTGGGGTCGTTCATGGCCCCACCTTACCTGGCCAGGTGTAATAAGCCAGAAAAGCAGGGAGTAGGTAGGCCGTGGTAGACCTGCAGCAAGAGGTTCTCTGGGCCAAGATGCCCAGCTAGACCTCCTCTAGTTGCCCAGCACGGGACTCGGGATAGCGGAAGAGACAGGTCCAGCCAAGCTGCTCTTGTGCCCATGATGCCACAGGGGTTTTTTTAACATTTTGCTGCTGTTGTTTCTTCAAACAGATCAGACACCTGGCAAGCCATGCCTGCACCTTCTACCTCCTAGTTCCACCGCAGGGAACGGCCAGCCTCCTCTTCGAGCAACCGCTCCCAAATCTCCAGGAGCATTACACAGGCAGTCAAGGGTGGTGGTACGTTTTGTTCAGCGCTTCCTAAGGGGATGTGGTGAGAAGGTGGCAGAAGCAGAGGGACCGGGCCGAAAGCCTCGTGCAGACGAGTTGCACTGCACAGTGCTTGTGCTGCGAGCGCCTCATTTCCTGGTTCGAGTCCCACCTGTGCTGTGAGTTTGGGTATGGCCCAGTCTCTCAGCAGCCCCAAGAGCTGCTTAACTGACTAAACTCCCCTCTGGACAGAATGCACGATGGCCATGCAGATCGCAACCAGCTGCCTCCTCCACACACCCAAAGGCCCAGCCCCTGTTCATTGTCTCCTCACCTTGGTTTTCATTAGGAGATGACTGAAAATGGCGGTCACCAACTGGTGGTCAAGGCCCGGTTCCACTTCAAGCAAACCAACGAGGATGAGCTGTCAATCAACAAGGGCGACATCATTTACGTCACTCGCGTGGAGGAAGGGGGCTGGTGGGAGGGGACCCTCAACGGGAAGACGGGATGGTTCCCCAGCAACTACGTCCGAGAAATCAAGTCTTCTGGTAGGAGGTGCTTTCCAAGCATGGTTATTGCTGACGTTAAGATTCATATTGGCATGAATAACTGACACTTTTAGAAGAACCTTTTAAAATTATGAACAGTTGTGGTTAAAATGCACGTTTTATTGATAATAATCATTAATAAGATGATCTTTTAAATTTATTTGTGCCGATATTAAAACTAATAATCCAGATGAACTTGGTACTGTGATGCTTAATGTTGTGAGCCGCCCCGAGGCTTTGTTGCGATGGGGGCGGCATAGAAATGTTTTAAATAAATAAATAATAACAATATTTTTAGGAGTACAGTCAGTGTCACCTGCATGTGCACTGCATGTGGGAAGATTAAAAGGTCTGGGAGGGGAAGCTCTTAGCCCTTCAGAGGAAGAGCCTAAGAGAGCTTCATGGAGCCGGTAGTGGTGTTTATGCTAGCCCAGGGGCAAGCAACTTCCAAGAGCCTGCCTGTTTCATGCCCAAATTTGCCACTGGTGGCAGCACAAAATGGGGGGTGGGGTTGTCATGAAACGGGGCACACAGAGAAGCACAATCAGGCACCCATCACAAGCCCCTCATTCCACTGCAACAAGGCCACAGTTTTGCTGCCTCTGCTGCCGTTTTGCTGAGAATGGCAATGGCAGAGGAGGAGGTGGGGGCTGCCAGGGACAGCGGATGCTGGCCAGATGTTGCTGCCAAGTCTTTGCGTACTTGTCGAAGCTTGGGGTGGCAATGATTCCCGGGCCCCTGGCTGCACTCTCATCTTTTCAGCCTGTCATCCCAAGGAAGGCGGACACCGCTCCGTGCTGCTCTTCCCTGAAATGAGAACAGACAGTTTCGGCTTGTCAGCCGGCCAGAGGAAATCAGAATGAGCCGAGGCAGTCCAGAGTCGGCTTATAGCTGCGGCCATCCAAGCCATGTGACTGTCTCGGGCGGCCAGCTTCTTGCTGAAAGGCATAGCTTCCATCTCCCCAACGGATGGTATCTTCTTTCATGATTTTTTAATCTGCTTCGACATGGCGCTGAGACATCAGGAGCCCTTGGGGGTGCAAAGCACGCCTTGCCGCAGTCCCGGGGCTGATTTGAAATGCCTGAAATGCTCCCCTGTAACGGAGACAGGAAATGCTGCAAGGGCGAAGCAAGCCATCAGCACAGAGCAGTGCTCTTGGGAAAGCCGACAGGCTGTGTGAACAAGCTGCATTCCCTCCTGCGCTGTTCCCCCAGCCTCTGGGTTAAAATTAGATGCTGCACTTCAAGTCACCCCAAGAGCTCTTTCTGCATTTGCTTTTTAAACATGTGATTTATTTTATGAGCTGCAAGAAAATTGCATTCCCCCCTTTCCTTGATTGGGTTTGTTTGTTTGTTTGGTGAATTTCACTTTTTCAAAATGATTTCGTAATAAACAAGCCACTATTGCTGGAGATGGAAAGCACTAGACTAGAGCTGGCCTGTGGAGATGGATGGACACAGCTGCTTGTGCTCAGAGGGGATTTCCGCGTGGAGGCAGCAAGTTGGAATGTCATAACGAGTGGCTGTGCTCCGAAACTGGGCACTGCGCCACTGGTGTTTGGTGTGGCCCCTTTTGTTTTCCATGGGAACACCCGGCACATGCCGTGCCCACCGCATGCACCGCAGGCCATATCCAGAAGTGACTTGAAATTCCTGCAAGGAACTCATGCCAAATCCCATAATCCTCCTCTCAATCTTATCCTCGCAGCAACAACCCTGTGAGGTAGGCTAGGCTGAGGGCCAGTAATTGGCCCAAAGTCAGCCAGGGAGTTCCGTGGCCAGGTGGGACCTAGAACTTGGATCACCCTAGCCCCCATCAAATGCCTCCCCCCAAGCAGGAAAGAGTTTTAGATGCCATTCTAACATCAGTTTCCTTTGATGCTGCAATTAAGATCTGAGTCCTGTCCATGCAACTGTTTAACTGTTGCTTGGGAGGCCAACCTGCCCTTCCCTTCTCCTGGCAGAACAAAGACAATTGTGTGTAACAATTTCCATTGCTTCTTTTCCTCCAGATAAACCACTCTCTCCCAAAGCCTTGAAAGGGGCTGAAAGCCCTCAACTTACCAAGAATTACTATACTGTGGTAAGCTCATCAAGTCTCGATGATCTCTCAGCACTATTTTATCATCTTCATCATCATTTTAAAAATTATTATTGTAACTTTGCAAACATGGGACAAACATGTACCCCAATGTTCATGACTTAAGGTTGTCCAAAACCCTCAAATTCTCATGCACATAGATTAAAGCACACAGTTTTATTAATAAAACATATTAACTGTTGAAACCTGGGATGTAAATTTTATTTCATCTCGGTTGCTCACCTTCGCGGTGCAGCCTTTCCGAGCATTTTGTCAACACAGTTACCTTGCACGCTCACTCCCTCCAGGTGCTTCAGAATATTCTGGAAATGGAGCGGGACTACGCCAAGGAGCTGCAGTCGCTCCTGGGGATGTACTTGAGGCTGCTCCAGTCTTATGACAAGTAAGATTCGCTTTGCTTCAGGTGGATGGGATGTCTGTCCAACCGGAGAGTGCAGCTTTTCACTTGCATCCCTCTCGCCCTGATTTCTTTCCCGCCTACCCGGGAGAGGGTGCTTGCAGGTTGCAGAGCGCTCTTCCCACCCAGGAGGACTACTCTGCCAGCTGCAATAACCTCTTTCTGGTGATCTCCCAGGAACTGTTTAGCGGGTGGGAAGGGGGCGTCAGTGCCTTTATTTTCCTCCTGGCTTTAACGTGCTTTCACAATGCTGCAATGTTTTTATGCTTTGCTGTTGGTTTTGTCTTCATTTCATTCTGCATTAGATACTTTAAGTATTTAATGCATTGTGCAGTGAGCAAAGAACTATGGTTTCTGCCTAGCTTCAAAGATGAGGGCATAAATACTCCAAAGTATTTGCCTGATTTTTGTGCCTTTCAAATAGTGTGTTCCACTAAATCCAGGGTAACCAGCACTTTCAGCCCTCAGGGCTGTGTGGGATGCTGGCTTAGGGATCGGGGCTGCACACACGCACTCACACACGCACGCACGTGTGTGCACACAAGGTAGCGGTCCTGACACAGAGGGCTTTTTCCCTCAGTGCTAGGACTGGTGGGGAGAAAGTGATCCATTCATTGACGGGAGGTTTGGGACAGAAAAACAGGCAGGCTTCCTCCTGCAGTATATAGCTAAAGTGTGGCATTTGCTGCTAGCGGGACGTGGTGATGGCCGCCAGTCTGGATGGCTATTAAAAGGGATGCCTGAGGGAGGAGGCTGTCAGCAGCTCCTAGCCTTGCTAGCCGTGGGCTACCCTCTTTACCAGAGGCAGGACGCCTGCCTACACCAGTTGCTTAGGAGCTTGGGCATCTCGTCCCCATCCTGCTGGCGGGATCCTGTGAGCAGCCGGCTTGCCTCTGTGTGCTGGACTAGGTGGACCTTTGGGCCTGATGCGGATCTGATGTGCTTAGCTCCGAAAATTGCTGGGGATGGAAGCAGTGGGGAGCCATCAAAGAACGCGTGACCTCTCTCGAGATCTCTGGGGGAGACAATTCGGCACGGGCAGCCAGAGGGGTGTAGGAGCGCTTTTGAGAGGCGGTGGCTTGTGCACTGTGCATTCAGCATTGGAGCTGCCGCCCCGCGTGGTGGAAGGGCCAACACGGGAGGAAAGAGGCATGCTCGAGGTTCACAAATCGGGAAAGCAAGGAACAGGATGTGTTTGGCCCAGACACCGAGGATTATAGCAGGGACGGGCAGAGCCCCACTGAACTTCCTGGCCGTGCAAAGCAAGGGCCGCTTCAGCCACAGCAGGAGCTCTGGGTGTGCGGGTTTTCTTTTCCCACGGGGAGCTGACCTCCCATCTTTTGAAACTTCCAGGCTGAGCACCACCGATAAAGCCTCGTTACTGGGAAATGTGGACGAAATCTACACCTTTCAGCAAACACTTAACCAAGCACTGGAAGAGTGTGCTAAGTAAGTCCTTGTTATTCATTCTGAGAACGTTTTCATTTTTTTTAAAGAAAAGAGCATTAGTTGTGAGATCCTGGGCAGGTGGAGGAGGGCTTCCCTCAGGCATCTGGCACAGGGGAGGATTTTATTGAGGATGCATGTTGATGACAGCTTATGAAATCCACACACCCCAAATTAACACGATAGCCAGAATGCAGTTGTCTTTCAGTATTAGTATTTCTTCAGATGTGATGTTGCTGTGCCCTGATCTAAAACGCCATTCAAAAATACGGAGAAATGTAATTATTAAGGAGCAGTGTGTACAAAGCTGTACCTATTCTTGAAAGAAAATAAGGGGAAACTATGGCATGCGTTAGGCATGTTTGCAAAAGTGCTTATGTTAGGCCAAATGCTTGCAAAAAGGCCTTTAAAGATACACTTGGCTGTGTAAGGGCCTAAGAGGCTTGCACATCTCATACTATCATGTTTCCTGGCTATTCTTCATTGTACTTTTTAAAGCTGTTCTTAATCTTTCAGTTTAAAATGTTTATACTTTCGATAAGATTGTATGGCATTTTAGGGTATTGTTTTTATGTGTGGTTGCCAGCCACCCGGTGAGCTCCAGCTATTGGGTGGTTCAGAAATGACATAAAATAACAACAACAGCAACAACAGCAGCAACAGAAAGACCTGAACTTTTACACAGACCTTTAAAATACATTAATTAATGCATGGAAAGCAATTAAGGAATGAGACCGAGCATGGTGAAGGCTGCCCAAAATAGACAGACTCCACCAACTGCTTAGTCCTCATTCTGAAACTTCCTCTCCTGCTTGGAGCTGCTCGGTCCAGTTCAGCAAATGGCTCCCTTCCATTGCTAACCCCCATACTGTGGGTGGGGAGGAGGTGAGTTGTGCTGGCAGCTGCCCCAGAGCTGGTTCCAGTGGCCATCTGGCCCGCTGTTTCACAAAGACCCCTCCAGCCTGCATTGAGAAGCTCTTGCTCCGTCTCTCCCGCAGGCTTCCAGAGCACCAGCAAAAGGTGGGTGGCTGTTTCCTGGGACTCATGCCCCAGTTCCGATCTCTGTATCTTGCCTATTGCGCTAACCATCCTTCTGCAGTCAACGTCCTGACCCAGCACAGGTGAGAAAACCAACAGCAGCAGCACAAAACCTCTCCAAAATGTCCACATGGCCTTCTCTGCCATAAGGTAGAGTGAGGCAGCTCCCTCAGGCAGCAAGAGGGTCACAAGTGGGTCGTTATTATCTGGGCTAATTGTTGCATCTCCTCGGCCAGAGGCAGGGGGAGCGTCTGCTTCATGGACCAAATGGCTGGCTGGGTGGCTGCCTGTCTTTGGCTGCCGTGCACCTTGAGCTGGGTTGGCTGGGTGGAGGGCAGTCGGAGGGCCTGCAGTGCGTGCTGGGAGGTCCCTGGATGGCCGCCATGAGGACGGCCATGCCGGCTCGTCCGGTGCTGTATCTTGATGTGTCTTTGCCTTCCAGCGACGAACTGGAGGCATTCATGGAGAGTCAAGGGGCAGCGTGTCCGGGCATCCTGACCTTGACGATGAGCCTCAGCAAGCCGTTCACACGGCTGGATAAATGCATCTCCCTTCTCCAAGAACTTGAGCGGCACATGGAGGTAAACTCGGCGGGTCTTCCATGCTAGCAGAGGGGTGAGGCTTAGGGGTGCTGGAGGACCCTGCAGCAGATCCGAGGGAGCTCAGGTTTCTGTGCTCAGCTTTCTGCATTTGGATTTCTGTGCTCAAATTTCTGCACTCAGATTTCTGTGTTCTGGTGGCAACTTTCCATGTGAGTTGGACTACAGACTCCAAGCCAGAGGGTATTGCCAGGTACTTACAAAATTGGGGCCCAGACCCACTGAATACACATTTGCATAAAATCTGCATAAGCTAATTTTATGCAGATTCATGTGCATCCATGAATGCACATTTAGAAATAATCATTAAGCTTTGGTTTAAATTTTGCAGGAAATGGAACCATGTCATGTCTCATCCAAACCATCTCAAATAGCATAAACTTCAGGGAACCCGTGTCCCCATCCAAAACCAACAGGGAAAGGTTTCTTCCTAGACTCAGTTGAAAAGACTTTGGGAGAAAGGGGGCAATGCAGCATTTGGTAAGGGAAGTTAATTCTTGCCTCCCTAGCTGTATGCCCCTTCGTAAATTGCCCCCTTTGTGGCAATTAAACAGACCCCCATTATCAGGGTCCTGGGACCAGATCCAGGGACCTTGGAAATAGATCGGGGCCTGACCCCCGTGTTTCCAGACCGAATGATGCCCCTTCGGGAGCTGTCACCCAGCACAACCGGAGGGCGCTCAGCTGGGAAGGCTGCTCTCGGACTCTGTACAGCTGGTCTTCCCCTAGCATGCTTCGCTCAGCTGTTGCCCAACAGCAGTAAACCCATTCCAATTTCACAGTCCTTGGATAAACTGAACTCACTTTCTCCATGTCAACTCTCTGCTTTTCTGCTCACTGCCTTCCTCTACCTTTTGTCAAACCACATCAGGCTTCTAGTTCTTAATGTTTCAATCGTTCTGCCCCAGTTATACTCCTCCCTTTTCCTCACCCCGCTTCCTGTTTTCACTCTGTATGCTCCACATTAGCACACACAAGCAACCTGTCCCCTTCTCTGCTCTGCCACCATAATTTGTGTCATTTTGCTCCACGGTTTGCAGGTTCTGAAAAAGGGACTCTGCTCCTTCCCTACCTTAAAAAGAATTCTGCAACTGAGTTTTTCAGCAAAGCCTTTCGCCAAACGTCGACCTGTCTTTCACCACACAGGAAAAAAGGAAAGGCAAAGTGACATGCAGTGAGAATCTCCAGCGTTAAGCTATAAGCCACACTTCTCTGAAAAGCAGAGGAAAGAGGCCACTGCAAGCATGTTGAAGTGATATGGCTCTGAAACAAGACATGTTAAGGACTGCATGATAATAGTTTTTTAAAACATGGACCACCAGTGCAATGCACCCCCGCTGCTGGGTGTGTTGCCAGTGTTTCTCGCCTGTCCTTATGACTTCCTTGAACTACTTTTGCACATTTTAATTTGGAAGTTCTTTTCTTGCTTCTTTGAATTCTTTTCTCGTTGTTTTAGCCAGGTTGTTTACAGGAGGGTCAGCAACCTCTTGTCATAATTCTTAGGGGTTTGTGCTTCTATCCCTGCAACTCTATCGGGATTGATATGATCAGTCGCCCACCGAGCCCCACGCCTCAGCTGGGGGGCTCAGACAAGAGCCCTGGACTTGTTTGTCCTCTGCCCCACCACAGCCTGTGCATCTTCCGTGGGCAGGTAAACTAAAAACCAAATGAGTTTAATACTGGAACAACCAATAAAAGACTATTCCACACACACACCTGTCCTTATTCCATGCCACGTGACTTACCTCGTTGCGTCCAGAGTTGCTGCTGCTGCTGCTGCTGCTTTCTGTTGCAATACCACCCAGGGCTGGGCAACCATTCTGCTCTGTCAGCCCTTTTTGCTCTTCTGAGCTGACTCTGGATTCCTCCTTTTTCTTAGGAGGCTCATCCAGACCATGAAGACGTCTTGAAGGCAGTCTCATCCTTCAAGTCTCTTGTGGTAGGTCTCAAAAGCAAGGTCTGTGAGTTGCGTGGCATGTCAGGTGAGAAGGGGGAGAGAAGGACAAGTGAGAAGGGGGATTTATTTATTTAATGTTTTGATATGCCCTGCCAATACTGAAAGTCTCTGGATGGCTAACAAAAAACAAAGCAGCCATCTACCACAACCAACACACTGCATCCGATAAACGATGATAAGAACAAGGATGAAACCAATTAACTGTTAAAATCTTGGGAGAATAAAGTGGGTCATCCTCTCCCCATTCAGAATCTCGTTATGCATGAATGCACGTCTTGCCAAAAGGGCTGATTGTTCTAAAGTCCTTGACTCACAAGGAAGCAGGAAAAAAATCTGGTGGGAGGTTCTGCTTAGTTATTACTGTATTAATTTTACCTCGCCTTTCCTCTGAGGAGCTCAAGGGGAGCTGGTTTTCCCATTCCTCACCATCTCATCCCTACAGCAGGAATTGAATTCAGCAGGCCCGTCAGAAAGATAGTGACCGGGTTCACACAACACGGTAACTCACTCAAGGGTGAAGTATGGGTGGAGTGCAGGTTGCTGTTGAACCATCCATTGTTTTGAAGCATGGGTTATCGCGTTGCCTGAACTAGTTGTGGCTTGTTGTGTTAAGAAACCATGAACAACCCAGGAGGAAAAGTCATGCTTTGCTGTCAGGCTGGGAACTGAGGGTTAATCAGCGTGGTGTGTCACCTTGTGAACCACTGTGCATTCCTTGCAAGAGAAGTAAAAGTGGGGTATAAATACAATGTGGTGGTGGTGGTGGTGATGTTCGTGTGAGGAAGTTTTGGGTGGATTGGTCTGAATGGGCAAGGAAGGCCCCTCAGCTTCACAAAAGGCCTACAGAAATAAACATATAATACGGAGGAATGGTCCAGCCTGGAACTGTGGCTGAGGGGGTGTCACAGGTGGTGGACGTGCCCCTCAAGCATCCACCCGGGCATCCTGAATCTTGAGATGCTACCTCAGCGGAAGAGGTTCTCCTGGAGGGTGATGCCTCCTATTCGCTCCGTAGCTCAACCAAGGCAGTCTTCCCAGCTTCCACTGAGAGAGTCCCCACACAGCTTGGGTCCCTCTTGCTCCTCAGCTGTTCTTCTGCAGCAGCTTCTCCTTCATTCCGGTGGCTATTTCCAGCCTTTCCTGCCCCAGATTCCATAGGCCATCACAGTCTGCCTCATCTCATCATTCCTCATCACTTGGGGCTGACATCCCTGCAACGGCGTGGTCTGCTCCCTCGCATGCCCGTACTTCCCCTTCCCCCTCTGATGTAGCTTCCATGTCACCTGAAGTGCCTGACCCTGCCTAATCTGGGAAGCTAAGCAGGGTCAGGCCTGGGCAGAAGTGGGATGGGTGACTTGAGGGTATGATTCTATGATTATTGCTGTCAACTGCCTAGAGAGCTTTGGCTATGGGCAGTATAAAAATGTAGTAGTAGTAGTAGTAGTAGTAGTAGTAGTAGTAATAAAAAATGCAGAACTGGCTCCCGTGTGTTCTTGGCTGCCATCCGCAGAAGGCTGAGACAGCCCACCACCCCAGCCCATGATGCCCGTAGCCCTCATTCTCCACATTCCCAACCTCTGAACCTTTCCTTGCTCACCCATATGTGGTCACCCCACCTGGTGCTTGCTCCTCCAAGTTGTGTTGGACTGCAATGTCCATCTTTGGCAAAGCATGGGCACCTGCACAAGTTGGAGCCAGTTCGCTCTTCAGCCGTGCTGTTCCCTGTAGCCCCCAAAAGAGGCTGGCCCTTTTGAAGTAGACGTTCAATGTCATTACATTTATTACATTTGTATACCACCCTATATGGTGCTGGGCTCACTGGATGGTGAGCAAGTTTAAAACCTATAACGGGAAAATGGGTGACCACAGAACTAGAAAGCTGACGGGTTGGATATCCTCATGTATATTTCACTGCTTTGATTCTGTATCTCTGAACGGCCTCTTTTAAACATCTGCGGATGTTCTAAACTTTTCTTTCCTGTTTCTTTCTTCAAAGCGTATTGTCCAGAGCTGGGGACCCTGCTCTCTCTTGGGGCGGGTGTGGAGGAAGAGAAGGGATCCCCCGGGCTTCTCCATGTGCCATCTAATGGTTAACTTCAGCCTTCTCTCCCTCTGCCAGTCCCAGTGCCAGGAGATGAGGAAGAGGAAGCAGACTGAGCTGCAGATCCTCTCGGAGTCCATTCAGGGATGGGAAGGCGATGACATAAAGACCCTGGGCAGCGTTATTTACATGTCCCAAGTCATGGTCCAGTATGGAGGAAGCGAGGTGAGTGGAGTGAGGCTGAGCAGCATGGACCATGAGGACTAGGCTCTTCCCCCCTCTTCTCCGTCATCAAGGAGTGGTGGTGAAAAGAAGACTGAAGCTCCCACAGATGATTTGTCTCTCTCTCCTTCCCTCACTGGCCCCATGAGTGTTTCTGGAGCAGCAGAAACATCCTTGGGGTTCACAGCATTTAAGAGCCATAGTGAGGACGGGGAGGGTGGGTGCATTTGGAGAACACAATGACCCATACTCAAGGGTTTGACTTTGGGTTGTCATTGAACCCGGGTGATCACGTTGTTTGGACCCAGCTGTGCTAACAAGCCATGGCTCACTAGCCACAAACAACCCACCGGTCCCAACCCAACAACCAACCATGGGTTTTCTCCATGAGATGTTCCTACTTGGCAGAACCTGGTTTGTTAGCATGTTTGGACTCAGACAGCACAATAACTCATGTTTCAGTGGCAACCGCATTCATCCCATGCTCAGCCCCTTGAACATGGGTTATGAGGTTGTCTGAACCCGGTCATTCCTTCTTTTTTTCTTTTTTCTTTTTGCCTGCTGCTATGCATTCAAATCGTCTTGAAACCTGTGATGTAGTAAGACGGCTGAGCCCAAGTTTGGATTTTCCTCTTTTGTTTCAGGAGAAGGAAGAAAGATACTTCATGTTGTTTTCAACTCTTCTTCTGGTGCTTTCAGCAAGTCCTCGGATGAGTGGCTTCGTGTATCAGGTAAGTCGGATCTGCTTAAATTAGTGGAACTTGGCTTTTTAGGAGGAAGCCAAGCCCATAACTGTCCCAGGTTAAATCCAAGCAACCCAAATTAGAGCTACCTATATCTATAATTTTATTTCATTTCGCTAATCAGCCATGATTGCCCTAACATTAATTCATTGCTCAAGCTTGCTTAAACTAATTTTTCTTTCATTTATCATTTCTTTTTACTTGTGGGGAGCAGGGAAAACTTCCTTTAATAGGAATGGTGGTGACAAATTTAGAAGATGCAGAAGGAAATGAGCACACATTTGAAATTTCAGGTGAGTGGAATTTTGGCAATTGAGGTGTGTGCAGCTCGGGGAAATCTTTACTGATGCAACCAGAGAGCTACTGTAGAATAATCCATCCAGAGCGAGAGCTTGAACCAGCTTCTCGTAATCGAGGGCAGGGGAAAGCAGAAAGTTAATCTCCAGATGCTTTGGGCTTCAGCTCCCAGCAGCCCTGACCACGGGCCACACGCCAAGGTCTCCTGGAAGCGAAAGGCCAAAGCCTCTGGAGAGCTACCTTCTGATTTAGGGCTAGCCATGGCTTAATGACTAAAGGCACAGTCCTGTTTTTGTGTGCATGGGGTGGGAAACAGCCCAGGCATTCTGCAGCTAGAAGGGAGGCCACAGGGTTGTCCAGGATCCCATATCTGAGCTCTTGCAACTGCAGAACTGGTACTCCAAAAGCCGGGCTTCCTATGGTGGGCATGGAAAGGTGCTGCCCCTCCAAGGCAAGAGAGGGCCTCCCCAATCAGCCCCCTGTCCCCGTCTATCTTCCCTGGAACTTTATCCAGGTCCCCTAGATATATGGCACAAGATGCAACGGAGCCCGCCTCTGCTTCCCCTCTTTCTGCGCAAAGGATCCAGGACCCCACATTGTTTTTAAAAGCTGTTTAAACATCGCCACCATTTCTGCCTTTCAAATCCCATGGTGGGTGCCACCACTGAGAAGGCCTGTTTATGTGCCATTACCAGGCAGCCTTCCGCCGGCTGCAGAGGACAAAAAGGCCTCCTTGGAAGATGTAGATGTAGGCTGGGTGTACGTAAGGCGAGAGGGGGTGCCCCTGTTTTGAAGCCATCCGAGCAACTGGCCACCACCACGTCTCAAGTGCGAAGGCGTCTTCTCTTCAGGGTGACCTGTCTCACGCCTTTCTGTCTCCCAGGAGGCGTGATCGACCGGATCACGGTGCACTGCAGCAGCAGCCAGGAGCTCCACGAATGGCTCGACCATTTCTACCGGCTGACGAGGGGAGCGGGCTCCAGCGGCAGCCTTTCCAAGACGCACTCCTGGAGTTCGCATTCTGTAAGTTCCCCTGGTCTATGCAGCTGCCTCCGCCATGCTGATCTCCCAGCGCAGTGTGCCCCTCTCCCCTGCAGGGGGCACACCGTTTCCAAAAATCCAGCATGTTCAGTGCCCAAGAGAAAAAGAGACGTGTCCCACCCTGCTGGCTTCAGAGCTATCGCTTTGCCCCTTCCTGCCTTTATTCATTTATATCCTGCCACTCAGTCGATTGCCTGGGGTCTCATGACCTGGAAAGTCCTTCAGTACAGGACCACCAGCAGCAAATGCCAGACTCCTATATATCCTCAGCAAGGAAACTTGTCCGATGGATTAAAGGTCCAGGGGACACCACCAAAAAGCCCCTGCCTCTCTTCTCTTTCCATGCCTCACTTCAACCGGAGCGGAAGCACTGGGCAGGGCCCCAACATTTCTAGCCCTTCATGTCGGCCAGTCGCAAGCCCTCTGGGGGCAAACTACTCAGGACTGTGGCTGGGAGCAAGATGGGAGCTGATGTTAGGGTCCTGTGAAAGGACGTTCCTTGACAAGCACCCGAGGAACTGGCTCAGCTCTTGCTACTGGGACCTCGCAAAGCTCAGCGTTGTCTCTCCAGGGTTTCAGGCCAAAGGGTCTTGCTCAGCCCTCCTGGAGGTGCCGCAGATTGGACCCAAGTCCTTCTGTGTGCAAAGCAGGGCTGCCTCGGCCTCTGCAATGGCGCAGCAAGGTCATCGTAGACCCCGGACCTATTGGTCTTACGGGGTTCTCCTTCGGACAGCCGACATATACTTTTTTCCACTCCCCAACTACTATTCCGTACTTGGCCACGGCTTCTGCATTCCTGTGAGGTGAGGAGGATATCCAAAACACCGTTTCCCACCCCGGTCCTTTTAAAATGACAGAAAACACTCTGCACATGTGCAGCTCTTTGAAGCTGCAGCCACATCGTGGCTGCTTCGAACCACGGCCACTGGTCCGTGATTCTGCTGAGCTCGGCAGGGGATGGGCTGGGTGCTACAGTGGTTAGGAGGTGGGCCACAGCCTGTCCCAGCGCAGCTGGGTGCTTTGCTTTGCTCTCCATCCCAGCCCTCCCAGGGCATTTGGGCAGCAAACTACACACTCTCCAAGCAGCACGACCGTCACACGACTGTCTCATGTGATTGACACGCACCCGTGGCTTTGATGTGGAGCAGACCAATCCCGAGTGCGTACACCTAGATTCGGCCAGCATGAATCTGTCTCTTTATCCATCTTGGTGTATATATTTTGCATGGACCACAATAAATAGATTTGGATGTCTAACGTGCTTTGCTGTTTAATATACTTACCCACTTTGAGACGCTTTGGTCTGATATAGCAGCATTAAATCAAAAGGCTAAATAATAAGTCAAATATTTTATCAGACTTTCAGCTCCATTGGACAAGTTCGTGGCCTGCTAGAGCCCCACAAAATCTTGAAGCCCTGGACCTTAAGTTGCCTCCGACCTGCGCCTCCTCTCAGGCCGTCCGTGGCACTCAGTTACAAAGAGGTAATTGTGGCAAGACCTTTGCCGTGCCTGAGCATGTCTGGCCATTGCTTACTTCTTGCATTCCTCTTTATTCTATGACAGAAAGACAAGTTTGACCACTGGCTGGCAAACTCGGCGGGGATGTTGTGTTGTAAACCGCTGAGAGCCCTTTGGCGCAAGTTCAATCATAAATATTAGTGTGTTGTGCAAGTTCAATCATAAATAAAGGAAATGGGGAAAGAAAGGATTAGGCATGCATGTTAATGCAGGCTTCTATCATTCCCCACTCCTGAAGCGATGCAAGCACTGAAATGCAGTTGTAAGGCCATATTTGCATTTTCCCGAATGTTGCAGTGCAGTCCTTCAGTCAAGGCGTGCAGGCAGCGTTTCTTCCACTGGGGTAGTCATGCATGAACATATGTGCATTAGTGAAAATAATATACCAGCCTTCATTGTACTGAGTGAAATGGTCTGGAAAATGCCTTGTTAGAAATAGTGTATCCAAAAAAAGTATGTTGGAGGAATGGCATGCAAAGCTGCATACAAATTTTCATGCAAACATTTTAAAAAAATCATAGTGCTGGACTAGATGGATTGATGTGATCTGGTATGGCTTCTCTTAGGTCCGTAAGGGTTGGGAGAATGAGAAACCAAGCAAAATCCAACTGGACAGATTTATCCATCCCAGAACTAAGTAGCAAAATGTAAATGTTGCAGAAGAATGCCTACACAAAGCCAAGATGTTTCCCTGAGATGGGTGGAATTGTTCTCAGTTGTGGCCAAACAACCCGGATTTTAAGGCCTGAGGAGGCAGTTTCAGCACTTCTGTTCCCTAAACCCTCAGGAGACATGCAGTGTGAGGGCACGAGGAGAACCCCGTCGGTCTGAGCTAAAATCTCGTTGCAAGGCTGCTGAACAGACCGCAGACCAAGTATGGCCCACTTGCGAACTCAGTCTGGCCACCGGAGATTCCCCGAATGGCCCTGCTCGCTTCTCCTTAACTGTGGATCATTTGGGTGGCATCCCAACTTGTTTTTATTTCCCCCATTCTGAAAGACTGAATGCCTCCCCTAGAACTTAGTTAGTGGCAGCTGGAGCTGCACCCTAAGCGATGCTGGCAGTTTTGACATTTCGCCCAGCCTGCTTTGCCTTCAGCCCCCTCCCCAATCTTGGAATATGCCCCATAACTGAGAATTCCTCCTCCAGATGCAAGCATTTGGGTACCCGTGGCCCCTCATTCATTCTTTTGTTTCATTTTTATGCTGCCCAGTAGCCAAAGCTCTCTCCAGAGTCCACAGCCATTCATAAAGGCAGGGCAATGAAACCAGCATGGGATTTTAAATGTCCCATTTCCCCAGAAAATGAAAAATTATATAAACAGCTGAAACCGATTTCCAGCACAGCATTTTTTGCCTCGTGCATCTCCCCGCACGCACCGTTACCTTTCCCAAGGAAAGGGCCTTTTTGGCACCAAAAAGGTGCTTTTTGGCTGCGTTGGTGTCAGGCAAGCCACCGGGGGGGGGGTGTGCCCCAGTAGTGAGGAGGCATTTGCACCCCGCAGGAGCCCTAGAAGGAGGCCACGGAGGAACCAGCTACCCTGCGGTCTTCCAGCAACCACTTTTCAGAGATCAACTCTCTAAAAAGAGGGGTTCAAATTTAGTGGTGGGCGTGCTTTTGCCTTCCAGTGGGGGATGCACCCATTTGGTTCACATTTTAATGTGAACTTAGCTAATTTTGCACTTTCAAACTGCCGTGGCAGGAATGGGAAACACGTTGGTGCTGGATTCTCACTCCCTTTGGCAATGTTGCACAGGCTGAAGGAATTTGCAATGCAACAACTTCTGGGGCGGCTCACAGACCCTGGCATTGCATTCTATGAACTGAAACTTACGCTTCAAAATTCCCACTTCTCCAAATTTTGCAATGGAATTATCCAAGAATATGGAAAATGACATCCATGTGCCTTATAGTAGGAAAGACGCTTGCAAAATGCATTTATTGGGCATAAATGCATATTTTAGAAGAAATGTAGCCGGAAGTACTGGTGCCTTTTCATGCAAACTTGGAAAAAGCAAAATCTCACGAAATGCAAGAGTGAAGAAATTCTTATCCTTCAAGACAAACCATTCTGCTGGGCTGTGTCCTTGTTCAAGCAGCTTGTGCAGTGATGACACAATGTTTCCTTTTGGAAGTCCCAGGTGGGGCAGACTCCTTTCTGGACTGGGACGTGTTGGTGGAACTCCGATGCGCGGAGGCACCAGTGCACACAACTGAATCAGTGGGAACCCAGTGCCCTCTTGCACATTGCCCTAAGACTGGGAAAATGGGGAACGGCGATGCCAGAATTGGACATCCCTGCTTTCCCTTCCGCGTTCTCCCCGGGGCGTTGTCAGAGGCTGGCGTGAAACAGTGGTGGAGCCTGTCTTTACATTTGTCGCTTTCTCTGGACATGCCCCTGGCTTCTCGCCCCCACCCACAGCACGAGCCCACCCAGCTCTCTGCAGGACCCCTGGCCGAGCGAGCAGCCTCCACAGCACCCCGAACATCCAGCATGGAAGGGCCTTAATGCCACACCGGATCACCCCATACTACCACCAATTTACTCCTCTGCCCGTGGCATCGTTGGGGAGGGCAGGGCCTCGGCAGCTGGGGTCTCCAGAGAGGTTTAGCAGCCCCAGGAAGGATGGGATGCCCCCCCTTTTTCCTGGACAGAGCCCAGCTGGATTGGAAGTTGATTTTTTCAGCACCCGAGGTCAGTGGGTAAGTTTAGGGGGTGCAAGACAGGCTACGGGGAATGCTCAGCTCTGCGCAGTCCCCCCACAATGGGACAATGGCCAAGATCACTGGAAAAAGGGCTTGCCCCCCCCCCCCCCCCCCCTGTTGCCCCGCCCGGCAGAGTCCATTGAGCCAAACTTGTCGCCATGGCAGATTGCCAAGAGGGGACACAAACTGCCCTCACGGTTCTGCCCAACAAAACGATGATGTGTGCTTAGAAAGACTGAACGTTAAACAAATATCTCTAAATGCACACACATTTACACACGGGCTGCTACTTCGGTCACAAAGACTTCCAAACTTATCACAGTTGACCTTTCTCCCTCTCCTTCAGTCCCTCTATTGCTTTTGCCCGTGTGAGTCCATGAAAGAGCAAATGGTAGCAGAGTTTATAGCAGAATCTCCCACTTTAAACTTGTCCTAAATTTTGGGGCTTTGCTGGTTGGTTCTTAACCCACAGAAGCTGCAAATGCTAAGAGTCAAATGTTCTTCTGCAGCGCTGTTCTAGAAGGCAAAATTATAGTAGAGATAGTAAACCTCTCTCCCACTTGGTTACATAAATCCACGCAGTTTCAAAATAAAACAGTATGCAAATCTAAACCCTCAGGAAACTGGGGTGGGGAGAAGGTATTTGCATCATACAGGAAATAACCCCAGAGCAGCAGTGGCGGCAAACAAAATCACCCTTAAATCCTGCTTAACTTTTTTTTAATGACTCACTTTTTACAAGGTTCATGCCTTTAACTCAATTCTCCGTAGCATGACTCACCTTTGTGCTCTGCAGGGGCTTGGTGATCCTGATGCACTTGATACTAACTGGGCCCTGGGAGCACACTCTGAAGCATGGCCAGACCCGCAAAGATAGCTAGGGGGCAAACCTTTCCAGATAACTGGCAGCCCCTAGACCCATAGGCTGGCAGTCATCCTGTGCAGAGTGGGGGAACAGTGGGGCAGTCTCGCTGGGGTGCTTCAGAGGGAGAGGGAAGCAGGTTGGGGCAGAGAGAGAACGTGTGCGGCCTTTGCCATCTCAGCCCCCTGCCCCCCGCTCCCTGAAATGCCTCCAAGGTCATTCTCCTGGGTCTTTCCACACCAGCTGCCGGGAGGGGAAGGGAGACGGAGCACAGATTCTCAGCTTCCAGGCTGGAACACATCCGGGAAGGGGAACCTGTGTGGCAGCGTTGCCTAGTGGTCAGAGCATTGGACTGGGGCTCAGGAGATGCTGCCATGAAGCTCAGTGGGTGACTTCGCGCCAGCCACACTCAACCTGGCCTGGCCTGCCTCACAGGGTTGTTGTTGAGGGGCTAAACTGGAGAGCAGGAGGACCTGGAAACCAACTGGGGAGCCTTGCAAGAGAAAGAACAATGAACAATACCAATATCTTATACCCAGACGCTGTCAAGAGGCCATTGCATTGAATGTTAGTCCTCTGTGCACCTTCTTGGCTGTAAGCTTCATTAAATTCAGTGGGACTTACTCCTGAGTAATTTGCATGTGCAGACCTAATCCATAAGCACCTTAAAGGGGGGAATGAATGAGGGCTGCCTCTGCCAAAGAGGGCCATGACCATATAACCTCCCCAGGCCTCTTTTCAAGACGGGATCCCCAAAGTCTTCAGATTTAGCCTGACAAAAGACAAACGTGGCCAAACATTTCCTTGTAGTTCAAAAGATGCCAAAATGATGATTCAGATGATTTATTGGTCAGGTAGATCAAAGATTGCACCTGCTCCAATGATTGGGGTTTTTTTTCCTTATCTTTTTGTCTTGTGTTTCTTTTTGATGATAAGGCACACAAAAACGAATGGTGTGAAGCAGGGATGTGGAAGTGCAGGCATGTGGGCCAGATCCTGCCCACTCACCGACCTCGCCCAGCCCTCCAGATAGCCACACATTCTACGAACTGATCAGCGATTTCTTGGCTTTGGTGAATTTTTTTCCCCTGAGTATGAGATTAAAATCCCGCTCCTAAAGTGTAGCGGCTAGCGAAAATGTGCTGTTCTTCTTAGTCCTTCCCATCCCCTTTGTCTTTGGCCCCACACGCCTGGAATATAGCCCCTAAGCAGCTGGATTCAGCCTGCGAGCCAGAAGGGGTTCAACTGCCTGCTGCAACCAGAGTTTGGAGCTCAGCCTTGTACACTGGGCCTCTTTCTGGAAACCTCAGACTCCTCCTGATGAAGAAGGGTGTTCTCTCCTTTCCTCTAAACTGGGTCACCAGTCTGCCTGTCCTATTTTGAGGTTTTCTCTGGAAAGTTGCACCATGTTGTCAGCAGGGTGATGACAGCAGTCAGTGCAGTGTGACTGTAGCAGAAGCCAAAGAGCAGAGTTGGACCCTCGCTGGTCCCTGCAGTGACAAAGGAGCATCTATGGATGGACGGAGAGAAGGGCGAACCAGGATTTTTAAAATTCCAACGGGGATCACTTTCACCCTGTTGATAACTTGATACATTTATTTTTGATAAATAACTTGATAACCCCTATTTTTTAAGAAATACTGAGATTTTTCAAAGATGTTATGCAGCAGGCGGTGGAGCAGAGGTTTAGTGCCCCAGACAAAAGATCTGGAGCTCTGGGTTTCATGGTCAGTTATGCCCCCCCCACCAGCTCTGCTTCCAGGCATGCATGGATAGGATTACGCCATCAGGCAACTGCACAGTAGGGAGGAAGAGGAGGGTGCCCTTGAGGAGAGGAGCTTGCCAAGCCTGAGCACAACTTGCCCAAAGCTCCCAGCCCTGAAAAAACCTGGAACTTCCGGAGGGCAGAATATTGTCTCTGCATAATGAAACATGCCCACCAAGCTCAGTGTGGAAGCTTAGCACAATGAACCTCCTCTGAACAGCAGAGGAAAGAGAGAAGGCCAGAACAGCGACTCGTTCAGAGATTCAGTGGGCAGCCGCTTCAGCAGGTGCGCAGGAGCCTTCCATGACTGAATGCATGTCTTTCTGCCAGCACCTTAGCAGCTCCCATGGGGGATTTGGGTTGAGCAGCTGACGGGTCAAGAGCATCCTAGTTTTGAGGTTACAGGATTTTGTACAGAGAGCACAACTTCTCATGCCCACTTTTCTCTTTCTTTCCGTATCCGTGCACAGCGGATGTCTTACATCTTGAAGGTAAGATTGGAAACCGCTCTGTGACAATTGCAATGGTCTGCTTTATTAAGGAACAGGTGGGGGTTCCCCCCCGAGCGGCAAGTTTCTGCCTTGCTTTTGTGTGTAATATTTTCCCAGCTTTGTGTCTGTCTGTGTGTTTTACAGTCCAGTCCAGTGCATGTTCCACAGAAACTCTGCTCCTATTGCACACGCTTTTCTTTCATCACAACGTTTATATAGATCATGTTTCACTGACCAGGTCCAGAACAGAATGTGACTTTTTCCCAAGAAATTTTGGAAGGGAGACTTGCATGTTACCTCCATTCTGAGCAATGAACTGTTTTCACCTGCCTGCAGTTCTGTGTGTGTTTGCTTGACCCACTTAGGTCAGGGAAGTGGGTCAGAGCCTTCTGCTTTTGAAGGGTTGACCACAATCCAGGGAAGCATTACAAAGACCATGCCTGAGCATTCTAAAGAAAACAATGTGTGTGTTTCTCTTTGTTTCAGTGTATGGTTTTGTGCTGCTTTGTTGAAATTCACAATAAAATTAATTTCAAAACACTCCAAAACAATGTGTTAAGTGCCAGGTGTTAATTAGAGGTGCAGTGTTTCACCTCTTATTGGTTAGTTTAATCAGTTGAAAAAGGAGGAATGTATGCCTGCATGTAAAAAACATTAATTCAGGAGCTTTTAGAAACTTCAGAGGACGTGAAGAGGCATTCTTCCTTTTCCTTATATACAGGATGGAATGCATCTTCTTGCTTCAGAATTTTCTAAGGCTTTGAAAATATTCTCCTGGCTTCAAAATTGTCAGAGTTTATCCATATGCACATGTATGCAACGCTTAATGATCGATTAATCAACTTAAGGGTGCATGTTTCAAGAGAAGAGCATCCTATAATGCTCAGCCTTCTCCATGCCCATCTTTGTCTTCATCAGCACCGTTAAGTTGAGCCTGTCTCCTTACAGGATTCCAGCAAGAGCCCAAAGACCATGAAAAAGTTCCTCCCCAAAAGGAAGACTGAGAGGAAGCCGTCTGACGAGGAATTTGTCATTAGAAAAAGTACGTTCATTGTATTCCTTCCTCCAACTGTAAAGAAGCACCCCCAGCTCTGTGTTCACCCATGTGCTGGACTTTGGCTCCACCCGTCCCTGCCGGCAGGAGGTCATGGGAGTTGTAGTCCAGTACATGGCGTTGGGTGAGGATGGATGGGAATGAAATGGGACTTCCCAAGCATTTCCTAAAGCTGCGTTTCTGCTCCCTGCGTAGGGGGAATGTGGCTGGGAAGGAGGAAATGGCTGAACTCTGTGGGCAACCTGAAATCGTGATTTTGCACGATGGAGCGTGAGAGGCCCCTGGTGTTCCCTGCCGTTCGTAGTGCGTGGGCCTGGGAGTGGGGCGTCAGCAGCACTGGGCACCCGGGAATGACGGGTCCCAGTTGCATAAGCAAGGGGGCTTGGCCAGGACGTTCGGGGACTGGGGGAGCAGAGTGTGAAAGGGGCAGTCCTGGGCCATGTGTCAAATGGGGCAGAGTCCTCCCGCCGAAGCCCCACTAAAGGAGCATAGCCCTGCTTTACTGACAGGAAGGCCCAGCTTTGGGCCAGCATCTCCAGGCAGGGCTGGCAAGAACCCTGCGTCTCCAACCGGGATCCAGCCAGCACCCTCGGTTAGTTCTTAAATCAGGTCCTTACTGAGAACCAGGAGAACTAGGAGAGCTTGGGGACAGAGCACCTGCTCTGAGCGCAGAAGGCCCCACGTTCATGGAATCGTAGAATGGTGGAGTCGGAAGGGGCCACAAAGGCCATGGGGCCCAACCCACTGCTGTTGCAGGACACCACGTCACAGCACCCCACTCAGGTGGCTGCCCAGTTTCTCCTTGAATGCCTCCAGTGTGGGAGAGCCCCCCACCTCTCCAGGCGGCTGGTTCCACTGTTGTATTGTGCCGACTGTGAGGAAGCTTTTCCTCATATCTAGCCTGAACTTGGGTTGTCACAGCTTGACTTGATTATTCCGTGTCCTACACTCTGGCATCAGCAAGAAAAGATCTTGACCTTCCTCTTTGTGACGTCCTTTGAGGTCTTTATAGAGGGATTTCATGTCCCCCCCAGTCTTCCCTTCTCAAGGCTGAACATGCCTGGGTCTCCCAGTCTCTCCTCGTAGGGCAGAGTTTCCAAACCCTGGGTCATTTCTGTTGCCCTCCGCTGGACCCATTCTAATTTTTCTGGGGGAAGGGGTGGGGCTTGGCCACCTGGAGAGCCCCTGAGGGCCCCGTGGGCTGGAGGTGCAGCACCTGTGGTCTGAAGCCGGGAGACGCAAGGCCAGGCGGCACCCGGAGAATGGCCTCTTCCATTCACCCCTCTGTGCGGCCTCGGACACGTGCATTTGCAACTCTTGGCAGGCACGTGGCTTTGCAACTCTTGGCAGGCACCGCCGCCTTGGAGGAAGACGCGCAGATCCTCAGAGTGATTGAAGCGTACTGCACCGGTGCGAGCTTCCAGCAGGCCCTCAGCTCAGGTCGGTGGTGGCGGCACAGCAGCGCCTTCGCTGCCCTTGGCGACCTTTGAACGGCCAGCAGCCTCCCAAGCAGAACTGAGCAAGTCAAGGTGCAAAGAGGCCAATGCTCGTCCACCTTCTCAGCAAGTGTGTTCAGCAGGAGGGCGTGTGACACGCGCCTGGCCCTTGCTGGGAATTCCTCGTGCTGATCGCTGTGCCGAGTCAGGAGCCAGAAAATGTCAGTAAGCCGGTAGTCCTCCGTTCAGCTCCCTGGGCAGGAGTCCTCCTGAATCCCAGTGGACTTACTTCTGAGTAAGCAGTTGCAGGACTCAGTGGCAGGAAACACGACTCGGCAACCAGCTTTGGGTATGTGGGTCCATGAAAGCGGATGATGTCTGTCACAGAAAACACATGGTTGTAGGCCATCTCCAAGACTCATGAAGTGGCCACTCTGGAACCTATAAAAGCAGGAGCTTTAAAAGGTGGCATAACCAAAGATAGTTGACGCATGGTTCCAGCAAACATCCAGAGGATCTGTTTGGAAGTTTAGTCAGATGTGGTCCTCTGGATTTTCTGGATCGGGATGGGAAGGAAGATCTGAAGAACATAAGGAGTGGCCTGCTGGACAAGCCAAAGGCCTAGCGCAGCCTGCCACAAGCTCAGGGCCGGGGAGGCAAGGTTGGGCCCCTGCCAAGGACCACACCCCAGCAGGGGCCGGCTGACAAGAGCCCCTTGAAGCGGCTCCTTTTCGTCTTCATGGTTGCCACCTGCTTACTCGCTGCCTCATGGTGGCGGAGGGGCGGCCACGGCCTCTTTGCTTCCAAGCTCTCTGCCCACCAAGCGGGCAGGTGGTTGCCATGTGGGAAAGAGGAGCAGCAGCGCTGGCACTGGTGACCATGCTGGTGACAAGGCAGGTGCGCTGGTGGAGAAAGCCCATGGAAGATGTCTTGGCCGAGGGCCCCCCAGAACCCGCAGCTGGCACTGCCCACGCTGCTACCTTCCTGTGTCTTGGACCCCACATCTGGGAGGAGGGCCAAGAGGCGCAGTCCAGCCCTTCCCGATGGGGAAGGCTCCCTGCCCAGTCCAGCATCCCACCGTGTGCAGCCAGTGGACGCGGAGGTTGCCCAGGAGCCAGATGTGAGGGCAACCAACCTCTTCTGCCTCAGCACCCAGGCATCATGTGCAACGCCGGCGCTGCACCCTTGAGCTACGTCTCCTTCTCTAGCCCAGCACAGTGGGGTGCAGAGCCACTTTCCAGGGGCCCAGTCTAATCCCTGCCTTCTGGTTCCCCCCACCTTTTCTCTGCATGCCAGTAGTTTGGCAGTTTCCCAGCTTTGGTCGACTTCCCCACCTCCATCCTAAAATGTTTCTGGTGAGGCTTAATATTTGATAGTAAGAGTTTTGAGCTCAAATAGTTCAGTATTCTGACTGCACCCCTTCAGCATCCAGACCCTCCCGCCTCCGGGGAGTGGCCCCCCAAAAAAGGAATTAGGCTCTTGGGGTAAAGGTTGTAAAACTGCTTACAGCTGACAGCTTAGCTGTAAAAATGGGGTTTGATGGGGCTTTCTTCTCGTTTTATCCTACATTGTATTTATCACTGCTGTTCACTGCCCAGTGAGCCTGAGCAATTGGGTGGTTGAGTGTTAAATATATGCTTTAAAAAAATACCTTATTCAGCACCACTAGAACACGAATGAGCCAGAAGCCAGCCTTTTGAGGCAGGCTGACCTCTGAAATTGGAAGTAGCAAAGGCTGGGCGGCAAAGGAGACGTCAGCCTGGCAACATTTTACTCAACTCCCTTTCCCCTCCTAACGCACTGCAAGCGACTGATGCTAATCTCCAAATGTGACTTAATTTTGGATAGGAAGCACAGGCGCTATCGCTTAATCTGCTGCGCACTTCAGAAAAAGTTGCTTCCTGAGCGAGGTGTTCGCATCTTTCTGAAGCGATGGAAATGCAGGCGTTTGTCAGAGCTGTTGAGATGGCAAAAAAATCAGTGAGCTCTCAGGAAGTGGGAGGTGGTACAGGAGTGTGTGCGTGTGTGTGTGCGCGCACGCTTAGTGATCTGCTCCTTCTGAATTGTGGCTGCTTTGCCCAACTTTCAGGGTGCTTCAGATTTAGGAAAGTATGTAGCTGAGAGGGTAGTGGGAGGGGGGGAGCTGATCAGCCCCTCATTCTGGTTCTCATGGTGCACCCCAAGAAAAAGGCCTCCTCTGACCTGCCACCCTTTGCCGACAGGTGTCCGTAAAGATTCCACCCCCCAGGTCCTGCTTCCAGGAGAAGAGAAGATCATCATTGAGGAGACCCGGGGCAACGGCCAAACCATCACGGAGGAGAAGTGAGTGCTGTCATGGGTGCAAAGTGCGTGCTAAAGGCCCAGCGTGAGGGTTGAGGCAACACCAGAAGACTGGCTGCTTTGGCTTGCCCCCCCCCCCCCAAGTCTGGCAAACCTCCTCCCTGGAGGAAACCTGCTGTCAAGCCCCCACGCCTGTG